ACATCAGTAGTGCTTCTCCACCAGCACATCTCACCAATGCTGCTGATATATAGTACTCCCTGCTCCACTCACTTCTGGGATTAAGGATAATCACTGGTTTAATAGTTCCCCTTCCACCTTCTGGTCATGAGTGTCTTAAGGACAAGTGTACCCTATATGGTTCAAGGCTGGCTCCAACTCTCTCACCTCATTGCCCTAAAACATCCTGTCCAGTACAAGATCACAAGGGACAGAGCAAGCTCCAGCAGTTGTCCATTTACTAGTTTGGAGGTGGGGAAGCAGGGTGATGACTTGTCTTGCTGTTCCTGTGTATTTGTGGAGGCACACACAACCTATTAACACACATAAAGGTGGCTCCACAGGACCCTGCAAGGGAATATAGCCATTCTAAAACAGTACATCAGGACTACTGCTCAGGGGACCAGTTAATTCTGCAGTATTCTAAATCTTTTCAACATAAAGGTGCAGCGTCTATTGTGATAATAAAATGTACAGTTTTTATTTATGGTTAAACTACTTTTAAAAACCTATGCGGTACTGGTCAAAGCAGAAATAATACTTTTTGTCTACAGATTCCATAAAAAATTAAATAATTTTGACAAAACAACATTGACAAAAGAAAGCTTAGTTCCCCCTAACAGTATGTATTACTTTGTTATCTTAAGTAATGACAAAGATATCGCCGAACAGGCCCATAGTGGAATGTAAAAATTATGCTGACCCATAAGAGCTATATAGGTATGAGAGCTGAAGTAGTTAATGCAAATTGTTGATTATAGTTGTTAACAGAAGAGATTTTCCTGGAGATATGACAGCTTTATGAGCTGGGCATCCACCCTCGTAATTATGTACGGACACTTGTGGTAAAGCTCAAACACAACAGAAATGTATTACTGTACAGTAAAAGTAAATATCAAACCAGTCATCTATTTACATGGAAATGATCAAGCATGCTATAACATAATATTAAGTACAAAATAGGTAATCAGACAAGACATGCAATAAAACATATAATTATTACAAAACATATACCTTTTAAAATATATATCCAATAGTCACCAGTTAATTGCATCATGTTTGTGGTCAAAAAAATTATTTTACCCACAGTTGTGTACAATCTATTACTATGGAACTATCTTTCTTAGACTAACTTTGTGTGGCACTGATTGGTGGGACAGATATCACTAAGATAGTTGTAGGAAAAATTTTAAATGTGCAGTGCTTCACCAGGTCGATTTATACACAACAAAAGACAAGCTGAAATCTGGGCAAAAAAAGAGAGTTTGCCCCATTGTTTAGAAAAACAAATCTGGCAACAACCTGGCTGTAGGAATTACCCCCAACCTATTGTCTTTCATTAACATATCATCTGAAACTAACTGAATACACCCTGGCCATTGTTTCACATATAATTGATTATATTAACACCCTCCCCAGGAACAGACAAAAATACATGATATGGAAATAAAGTCCGCACACATATTGATCACATTTTAGCTAAGATAATGTATATTTATATACATGACTATTTACATCTGCCAACTGATATTTCACATAAACCTCATATTGTAACAATAACCATGTAGTGGTTTTCACATAAACCATACCTGGTATTCATGTGAACAGCTGTGTACCCATACAACACAGAAATAAAATGTAAGAGAAAGCTTTAAATTAATTCAACGTGAATACTTTGAGTAAGATAAAATATTAAGACAAAAACTCTCGCAAAACAAAGGGCAGAGATTAAAGACTGCTGTAGGAAAGGTGTGTAATAAAGTGGATAGAATAAAAAGTCAAACAGGGCGAGAATATTGTAGGGTTTATACACACAAAAGATGCTGAGGGCGTGCTTCTTATTTCTGTGTTGTGCATTATTTGTAAATATTTTGGGGAAAAGGACTGGAGTGTAGAAACCAAAAGGATAAACTAACACATTTCCCTGAAAATATGGGCTGGGGAGATAAACAAAAGGGGTAGAAAAGGTCCACCATGATTACATTTAAATCTACCTGTTCTCTAGATCGCAGTCTCACATAGACTACCAATTTGTACTATGTAGAATCTAATACTTTAACATTCATTGAAAATATTGTTTAGAAAAAAAAAGATCTCTTACATACAGTATGTATCTAAGAAAGTTACAGTACATTAAAAAGACAAGGGTCTACCTTTAAGGCTACCCCACTTTAGGACTTTAGGATACAATTTCTTCTCAATAGAATCCAACCAATTGAATATCATTTCTAACAATATGGCAGCCCCAAAAGTATTCTAAAATTTGGGGTCCTAACCCATACATTAAGCAGCAATGGTCGTGACACTCATAATACAATGTGTATTAAAACTTGTTTAAATGTAACAACTGTTATACAGCCATTATTTTTAAATTTCTGGCTAATTATCTCAGTTCTTGTAAAAGCTTTTTCTGGTACAATATGCTCTATTTATTTATTTACTTGTTATAATTGGAATGTTACAGAAGATGTGCAGTGTTTTGCATTAATTTATTAAAATGTGGAAAAATGAAATCATTCTTGACTTTGGACTCCATAAAGAATTCAGGTTGGCCATTTAATACAGAGAGAAATGCAGTTAATCAGTTAGTGGACTTCATCTTCAGTTTGTCAAGGATGCACACCTTGTTAAAATCTGTGCACATGCACCTCTCTACCTAAGTTCAGTTTGTGCCAGGTTCCTTCTAGCACGGGAAGAAATCACTAACATTGCATTATCTTGGAGTATATTTATCAAATTATACTATAGGGGGTTTGTATACCCTAAAAACAGCTTAGGCTATTTCTGTTCACAAATGCTCAGGATGTTTTGCTCTGAAATGTAGTTTATGTGTTGAATGAATGCAAAACCTATTCTAACATCTGGGAAAATGACAGAGAAACATGAGATGCAATTCTGTGAATGCTGGAAATACAGGTTTGCAATCAGCAAAGAAGGGGCTCTTTATAGTAAGGGTGGGCTATGAAATGACCCATCAATGCAAAATATGTTACTAATGTTTAAAATGCTAAAGGAACATATGTGTATTTTTGAACAAGGGAATTAACCAATCACTGTTCTTTCTTTTTCCTACTGTACAACAAAACTGGCAAGAGTTTTACAATGTTGTCGCTATACCTTGCTAGAATCTGTAAAAGGTTGACCTTAATAGACCTGTGTTTTTATCAACATGGCTAAATATGAAAATTATATAAGTGCACAACAATATATATTTCCTGCACTATGACTATTCCAGATTGTTAATATTCAGCTGTTCAGTTTAAATGTAGTGAACATCTTAAAGGAAAGGGTATAGTGTATTTTTTACTGTGAATTTATTTAAGATGTAATTTTCACATTTTTACACGTTTCCTCTTCATCTTTTGTTATGTAGAGATTTGCAGATTAGCCACTACAGGCACAGACGATTAGCTGCTACAATGACTCTATCTAAAGCTGGCCAAACACAGATCAAATTTCAGCCGAATCCTGCTGAATCAGCTGAAATTCAATCCGTGGGTGGCCCTGCCAGCAGCACCCAGGTCAACAAAAGTAGATTTTTCAATTGACTTTTGTGAACAGAGCCAGGTGGAAAACTGGCAGCCAATCAGCTGCAGTCAGTGTTTGGGTATTCTGACAGCTGTGGATGCTGGCTAATTGAATACAATAGCTGGCAGGGGAGATTCCACCATTAACTCTGTTTAGCAAAGATGGGGGATTCAAGTGTTTTAGTTTGTTCAGCCTGTGGTACTAAACTAAAAAAAAGGTAACATGTATGGCCAGTTTAACTGTTAAACGACTGTTAAGATAAGATGACACATTAATCACATAGGAAGTGCCTTGCTTTTAGTGAGTCAAATTATTGATACATTTACACTGTGAGAAAGAGCAGTAAAACAGAACCATTGAGTAGCAATGAAAAGCAGGCATAACCTGCTTATTTATTAAGCAAATATGTCTGTCCCCCATACACATATATACTGTAATTACAAACTATACAAAAGAAAAAAAGATTTTAAAAGAAAAATGTAAGGTTATTTACATAACTCTAAAGAGCCTTGGAAAGATTATACATTCCATTTATATTAGCTGCATGGATTTGATTTAGATTTGTCATACAATATGTGGTATAACTATAGTCAGCATTTTTTATCTGCATTGCAGCCTTTTTAATTTGCTTTTGCTAAACAAGAATCTGTATTTGTGAATTTGCCTGTAGCTGTACTTCTTCTGTCATTGTCATTTTGTCCATTTAAAAATAAATGATAGATATATAAAATTCTGTATAACTATTGTTATGTTGCTATACTACTCAGATTGTGTTTATATTATGTTCACTGCCAATACTGCTTGTGTGCTGTAGGTATTTCGGTATCTGTTGTCCTGTCCTTTCTGTTCGGAAGACACTCCAACATACCCCAGAAATACTCCCACAATCTTACATAATACATAGGATAATATCTGCTAAGAGCGTGATCACTATGAAACAAACTGATTCTTGAATTTGTTATTCTTCCTGTCAGAACAATGCTGTAGATTAGGCAGCCTTAGGTGAGGAACAATAAAATACTGAACAATGCAAAGTTTCCCAGAACACTATCCAGTTGGTTGACACAAAAATAAATATTTAACGTTCCAACATTTAAGACAAAACAAAGGTTTTTGTTCTCTGACCTGTTAATGTGTTAAAGTGGTCCTGCACCAGAACTCTCTGTTAGTAAGTGGAACTAGCAGAACTTTATTAGTTTCTAGACGCTGCCTATCTGAAAGACTAAGGTTGGCCATACACATAAGAGATTATTGTTCAATATCCTGAGCAAAAAACAGCCAAGCTGGAAAAAATAGCAAATTACTCTTGGCTTTTTACTGTTGTGGAATCCTGCAACCAAACTAATGATTAAATCATTGATCAGGGCTTGTAAAAACATTGTATACAAATGTGAATATTGTTATATTACTTGTTATATATCTGCAACATTCCACATTTCCGTTTTTCTATCTAGATCCAGATTTTAAAGATCTTGGAGTACTTAAACCTTTACCTGGTAAGTACACAGTTTTCAAGGTAATTGGTTTGAGTGCTTGTTGGCATATTATGACAATCTTTTCCTTCTTTCCTTCCTTCCTTCCTTCCTTCCTTCCTTCCTTCCTTCCTTCCTTCCTTCCTTCCTTTTTAATATATTTTTGCTTGAATTCAATTTAGTTTGTGAATTTGAAATGGGAGGACCTGAAGGAATAATAGAATCAATGCAGATCCTCAAGGAAGGAAAGGCTTCTGCAAATGAGGCAGTTGATTGTAAATGGTATATTCGGGCTCCACCAAAGTCTAAGGTCAGTTTTTTCTTCCTCACATCTTTTGAAAAAGACTTTTAAAATAAGATATTCAATAGATCGTTTTAGGAGAATGAAAGGATCAATATTCTGAATGCAAACACCTCATTTGTGGTAGGTAGGTGCTGCATCTGGTACAGCTGCTTCTTCCTATGCGGATAGATGAGGTTTGGTCAGGCTGCACTGTGAACCCTATTTCTCACTACATCTACATGGTGAAAGGTGGTATGGCTTCATTAATACTTTCAGTGGGGTCCATGAGCTTGTGTAATGACATCATGGTATTACATCATTAGGTTTAGATCTGGATTTAAATGTAAAAATGCATATTATCACCATGGGCCATATTAAAAAATAATAAAACAGAAAATATGTGATATTTGCAAGCTTTACAAACGATCAAGAATTTCCCACTAGATAAATTATTTCTTTGTTTGTCTTCCAAACCTTCTGTGGAAAAATATGGTTGGAAACTGGTTGTTATAAAAAGTATAACATTTTCCTTTAATGGCTTTTTATAAACAAGGTATTCTTAAATTTATGCCTGGTTCCTGGTTGAGCAGTTCAAAAAGCACTTTTAAATGCCCAGCACATAAATCCCATGATTTTCAATGGCCCTGGCTCACACCTGAGCAGAAAAACACCAGCAGGAAAATGCCAAATGCCCGAAAAGGTACATGAGCTTCTTTGCGCTGTTAAAAGCCCCTGTTTTTGCCCCAAATACTTCATTGAAAATGCCCCAAAACGTGCGGCAGAAGCATGTTGCACATTTTCGTGAGCATTTTTGCGTGTTTAAACACACGTTCTTCCATCGCTCGCAATGGTTCCTGAGCTGCCAGTCAAAATGCATGTCTTCATGTGCGCGCATTAAAACATGCATACAAATTGTGCACAGTGTGCATAACGCACATAAACGCGCAAATAACCGCATGCTGCCTAGGTGTGAATCAGGCCTTAGAAATCCCAAAAAGAATTTTTTTTTTTCTATTCTGACATCGATCGTGTCAGAATAATAAAAAAAAAAAGACACAGCTGTGTTTCTCTCCTTGGAGGCTCCCAGAGCGTCCGGGAGAGTTTTTTTTTCTCCTTTTTTTTGACAGCAGCAGAGCCGCCGGACAATAGGAAACTATTGGGCGGAGCTAGCTGTCACTGCTAGCTCCGCACAATCGTTTGCTATTTACTTTTTTAACTTTTTTCACTCTTTTTCTGTTCTGCTCGGTACCTCTGAGGGACCGGGCAGAACAGCCTTAGCCGAATGCCGCTCGGCGGAATTCCGCTATTCACTTACTGCTGTTCGGGATCTTTAAGAATAGCCCGAACAGCAGTGAGTAGCCTGCCGGAGGTTCGGCTCAGCCGATCCAGATGTTGGATCGGCTGAGTCGAACTCCTTCTGCACTTCTGGTCGGCCGAACATGCTGAGCATGTTCGGCCGACCCGAAGCCACACGAAGCAAGCCGATGTACGGCTGATTTCAGCCGATGTACAGCTGAAATTAGCCGTACCAGCCTGAAGTGAATAGCCGAACAGTGTTCGGCTCACTTCACTTCAGATCGGTCATTCACTCGGCTGCCCTCGGCAGCTTCGTGAATAGACCCCCTAGTGACAGAGTAACTTTTAAAGTAAGCCTGATGTGAGAGAACTATGGAGCCTTCCATTGCTGATATTCTTCTGAAAATACATGTTGCCTGCCTATTATTCTGACCCTCTGACATCAGTACTTTTTGAGTCATTGGGGTTGATTTACTAACCTTTTAAACACACCACGGACGTGTATACACCTCTGTAGTGTGTTCCCTCCCAGCATGATCTATGGGAGGAATCGAAACACCTTTGTAGTGTGTACACACCCAGCAGGTGTGTTGTTCAAAGCCCTGCAATGAATTGCAAGGTAATGTGGTGTAAATTAGCTCTATGTTATGTTGCTTGCGTTGATGAATGCAGGAATGTAAATGCATGAGCTAACCATTTTTGTCTAAACTGTGAAGCAGCATTATATATGCATCATGTGCATGATTTTTCCATATATGGCATTAGTGGAAATATGCTTTTAGAGACTTTTTGGTTGATAAATACGTTTTGCTGTGTGAAAATCACACACACCTGGTGTGTGTGTGTGTTTAGGTTAGTAAATCAACGCCTTTGGGTCAGAACAAGTGTGTAGATTAGGAAGCTCCCTCTGTGCATACTTTTCTAAATCAGTGACATTAAAGCAAAAGGTTCAGAGCAACAGCCATTTTCAGAAGTAGAAGACAGCAGTGACACCCTCCCTATTTGTCTGTAGAGAATTTTACTTTAAAAGTGCGTCTCTAGTTAAAACATTTTTTTTCTTAGTTTTGGAATAAGAATCGAAATTTTAAAACCTCTGTCGGTTGTTTTGCTGTTTGTGCCCCATTGGGAGATTTTTCTTAACTTCCTGTCATAGAGACACATGATATGAGAGTCAATCTCTCTAAAATGTGATTACTAGAACTGATATCTTGATTGGAAGATTTCCCTCATCCCTTGTTCTGGTGACTATTGGAAGATTTTGGACTTCCCATCACTTTCTGTCTCAGGTATAATAATCACTATGAGAACCAGAGAAGGTGAATTTCTCCAGCAGGATTACAGACAGCAACAGAAATTAGACAGGTGTTCCTTGCTCTACCTTAAACCAAAAACAATAAACATGAAAGATCATCCAACGCCTGGTTTAAATTGTCCAGTGTACAAAGACGTACCTATAGTTAAATAAAACAACAGATCATATTATATTATTAAAATAAAATATGTGGCAGTTTTAACCCTTAACCCAGCTAATAGATTATTACTCTACAAATAAATCAAGCATAGCCCACCATTTGACAGGAGATATAGGAAAATAGAGACAATAGGATCCCAAATTTAAATCCACTGTGCTATGGTTTCCAAATTAACACTGGAATTGTCTTAGCCCTGTAAAGTAAGAATATATCTACTCCCCCTCAACAATCCGATTTAAGTTCTGTCTCTCTTTAAAGGCTGCAAATTTCCTTAAATGGAAGACGTTACTATAGTACAGCACCACCACAAGTAAATAAACAATTTATTGGAGCATTATGTCTGAGATGAAGGCTACACTGCTGAAAACATGGACCCATTTATAAAGAAGAAATATTGTTTTATTGATTTTATATCAATTGAAGCCAGTTTACTTAATAGCGTTTTTTTAATGTGTTTTATGTTAAGCACAAATTCATTATCTTTTTATACCTCAAATCGTTTTTTATAAACAAAAATGGGTGCTCAATGCTTTAGACCCAGCTGTACAAAAAGAGCCAGCTTTGGAATACATGCCTAATCTAAATATAAAGATACATTTCCTCTTATTGAAACGTAATAGCTGCATTGGTTTTGGTAGCATATATTTGCAGAGAGGCAATTTGGGCTTAAAGTGATTATGTCACAATATGAAGACAAATCAATAAAGGTTTCCCTGTAAGGAAGAAATGTTAGACTTACGTATCTCATCACCCATCCTGTCAGTCTTTGCTCTCTTCAGACGCTACGGTGCTCAGAGATTTTGCTTTATCCAACACACTTGCAATAGTTTTGGATTTCTGGTGATTGCTCCTGCTGGCATCTATATCACTATAGGATACCGTAGTGATGTAGGGATTAGCAGGAGGAACCACAGCGCTTGGCGGGGACCAGATATCTGATGCTCCTGGAAGAAAGTTGAATGAGAAGCATTTTCTGAATATATTAGATCTTGAAGAGAGCAAAGACTGGTGGTTTGGCTGGTGGGACAAGTAAGTGTAACATCTCTTTTTGTAAGAGGGAACCTTTTCTTTCATTTTGCAACAGACTTGCAGAACACAATTCATGTTTGGCTACATGCAGGCAGTGGGGTAGTGCTGTAAGGGGCATATTTATATGACTTCCACCAAAGGGTTACAGGTAATAAAACAATAACTGTCACTTTAAACACATGTACCTGTGTACACTGGAAGATTTACCCGCAGAGAGTGTTTAGTGAATTTCAGACTCACTGATTTATAAATATACTCCTGCTCAAATGTAGATATGTAGTAAATGTAATTCTGTGCTTTTAAGATGATCTGTGTTGTCTACATATTTAATGACATAACATTTATCTGCACTAATTCTAAGGAAGACATTTGGAGACATTCTTGGGAAACATTTCTCCGGCAAGTATTAAACACCCACTATTCATAAATAATGGAAGGATTGTGCAGTTTAATAAATGGTTTGCTTTGAATAGCAGATAATTGAAGTACTTACTGATTGAACACTGAATGCTCAATCAATGTGTAATAGCCATGATGTGCTCACAAAATGTACTTTATTTTCAGATATACTTAAGATTTTTGGACTATGAAATGCAAAATTCAAATGAATGTAAAAGGAACTTTGTAGCTGTTTATGATGGGAGCAGTTCAGTTGAAGATTTGAAAGCTAAATTCTGCAGCACAGTTGCTAATGATGTGATGCTGCGTACAGGACTTGGAGTAATCCGCTTGTGGGCAGACGAAGGCAGCCGTACCAGTCATTTCCAGATGCTCTTCACATCTTTTCAAGAACGTAAGAGAAACTATGCTTCATGATGATCCCATGAACCATAATAGATGTTTATTTTTAGTAATATTTTGTTTCAGGATATTACGGTTTTCATTTTTCTTTGTTTACAAAACTGCTTCATCTGAATTAAATGAACCAGTTCTCATCTACTTATTTACATGGGGCATTTGCTCCCTTTGGGGCCATAGTTTCACCTGCTATGGCTATATTCGAGAATGCTCCTGGTTTGTTTGTTTTTGTATAGTCCCAATAGCTGAATTTAAGATGAGAATTTAGACCTTTAAAAAGGGCAGTGAGTCTTGCTGCTTAATTTGTTGGAGTAAGTCCATATAAATGCTGTTACAACCTAGGTTGGACTTTAGCCTGCTAGGCATGCTTAAATATTAAAGGGATTGGTATTTTAGATTTACTCAACAGGATAGTATAAAAGAGAAATGCGTATACAATATATGCTACATGGAGATGTCTGAAGCAACTGTACAAGCTTTTTTCCTATGAAGCAATAAGGAGGGAGTGTACAGGTGTGTGTGTGTGTGTGTTGGTGTGAGGTATATGGCTCCACTGAGCTAACTTTGGGTTTGCTAATTTCATTGAAAGAAATGGCCTCATTTGCTCTCCATATTGACAAGACTGGTGATATAAGACCTATACTTTACTGGAGATTTTAATCACTTAGTCATTTAAGATCAATATCTTGTTGACAGCCTTCTCATTTTGTAACATATTGATTTTGTCATGTGAAAGAAAACTGAAATATTTGGTAAAACGTAGCCTAAACACACTAAGCAAACACAAAATTTCTGTGTAGCATAGCACTAATACACTTGTTTGGTATTAGAGTGGAGCGACTTGTTTTGACTGCACGAGGATTTTACCAGATTTTCCAGATTCACAGACCATAGATATCTTTTAATCCTGCCTTTTCTACCTAATGGGTCTTATTGTAGTTTTTCTGGGGGCAGTTTATCATGTGATGTGATTTGATAACGGGTCATTTGACCCCCTATCCAATAACTGAGGAACTGGTTATCTTTACCTAAGAGTAGAGAGGGCCGGTTCATACATACTGCGGTGACCTTATTGACCACGCCGGTTCAATGCAGGTCACTGCTAGGACACATAGAAATCTATTTTTTCTATGTGCCATGTTTACACCACAATGTGGGTACGATGGGTGGTGTGCTGTGGAAAACTACAAACATGCTGCATTTATTCGTAGTGCACTGGTTGCCACCGCAGGTCACTGCATGGCTGTGCACAGCACTGTGCTGCTGTGCATGGACCTGCATGGAGTGTACACATGGTACACTCTACATAAAGTTATAAAAAAAGAAAAGAAAAGAGGTAAATAGTGACAGCTTTGGCAGTGTGTGATACAATGCACACTGATGGAGCTGCTAAAACGTGCTAGTCTGCCCACTAAAATGCAGAATTTTAGTGGATGGGCTAGTGTGAACGGGACCTTAAATTATTTTTTTCATTCTCTGATTTCTGTATTCAGAGTATAATTATACTTATAAGATTAACAGTTTGTAAATAGCAGGCTTGGGGAATTCCTGTTCTGTCATTTATAATTAGCTGATATTCCCATTAGAAACTGTGCTTCCTGTTGAGTAATGACAGTGCAGGAATCCTCTATTAACCTTTAAGAACTAAACTAATCTTTGCATTCATTAATTGACATAAGCATAAATGACAGAACAAGTATATCCAAGGATTTCCCACTCTGACTGGTATAAACAGTAAACTTTGTTAGACACTAAAGTAACGACATGAAACCCATGTTCACCTAACATTAACTAACCACTGTGGGAATGCAATATGTACAAATGGCCCTTTACCAGTTCACATCATATCAGTAAACATTTTACACTACGCAGAAGTGTAAAATGTATATATATATATATGTATTTCTAAAACCTATATATATATATATTTATATTTGTGCTATACATTTACTATAGATGGGTTCTTTCGGGCTCAGGCCAACAACTGCTTCTCTAATACATTTACTGATCTGCCATGGCCTATGGTGGTTACCATTGATGGACTCTGTCTCACACAGAACCAATGCTTTCCTTGGCAAAGGACCAAATGTATCAGAGAAGCAGTGGACCTGCAGATAACCCAATCCAGTAAATGGTATTTCAATGCTATAATTGTTTTCTTCCTCCTTTCTCCTCTTAGAAGCAACAAGGAACAGAGGTCAGGTTTAATAGTTTATGTAAGTCAAGTTCTTGTTTCAGTTGAAAAACTTAACTAAAAAATAATCATTTCTGTTATAGAAACAAGAGGCAGTTTTCTATAACTCTTAATGATTATTGAGGGGAGGAATGCTACCATTCTCACTTACACCATCTGCTTTACCATACCATTTGGTATGACTACTGCTACGTTTTTCAGTATAAAGCAGTTTGAAAAAGATAGCATGAGATCAGCCAGAAATAGCACATGACTACTTATTACCCCAATGAAAGTAATAATGTTTAGCGAAAGCTTTGTTCAGTTTACATAAACAATTTCCAGGAATAGATCAGTGCTTCCAGTCTTTTCTAATGTCCTGAATAACCAATCAGGTTACTAAATGCAGACACAAGCATTTTAAAAATGGTAACTGTATTTTATACTTTTGCTTACATTGTGGCCCAGGTTTTTCATCTTACAATTCTTCTGGTTCTTCTGCTTCTAGAGACCTTAGGTGGTTCATGGTAACTCTTTTATATTTAATTTTTGGTAATGATTGTTGCCTCTTATCTGAGATATGTTTTTGCTAAAGTGTGATCTATCCAATGCTAAGTTTACAGCTTGCACAGCTAGTAAAAAAATTTAAGCTGAAAAGATAAAACAAAAACTACAACCAAAACATTGTATTCAACATCACATCTTAATCCTTGTGAACCTAAATAAATGGACATCTGTAATGGGATTTGAATGCAGGATTTTTCACCCAGTTCGAATTTCTTGAAAAAATCCGTAAAAAATGTTAAATAGCATTAAAATAAGAATTTTGGCAATAGTAAAATGTCATAAGGAAGGTAACAACAGAATGCTGTCCTTTCACTCCCACTATCATCTCTGTCCTCTTTGGAAGACATCTTCTCCTTGGTGGCAGTACAAACGCTGTTACAAATCTTCTGTTAGGTTAAGTGGTGTGGTATGTTTTTAAAGTCACAGCTGTCGAGCTGTTGCATTTTTTTTCAGCAGTAACACACCCCAGACTGTAAACATCTAGCTACATGGTATTAGTAGACCCAGTCAAAAATCGAAATTATGGAACATAGTGTTAATGTCCACCTTTGCTACTCTCTAGAATATGTGTATTTTCCCCTTCATCAAAGGAGAGTTGCAGAAGGCCAAAGCTGGGTTCTACCATTTTAGAGGAGTGACTAATTGCACTCAGATCTGTTTTACTCGCTCCATGTGACTGAGAAGAGCATCTCTAGGCAGAAAACGCTTCCATTATATCAATATCCAAGTCACATGTGACTCCCTTCAATTGATAGAAGATCCCATCTCCCAGGCAGCAGTCACAACAGCCACATTCTCAGATTTTATGAGACATGTGAAAGTGGAAAATGGCAAGCAGTATGTCTGGCGGGTAAGTGTAATCTTTTTTGCTCTTTGTTTTTTGCCTTGTATATGTCTTTTTTAATGTGTTTTAACTTTTATTATATTTATATTATATATATCTATATAATATAAAATATGATATACATTTTTTTGGGATTTCATATTTAAATTTTGTGTTAACCTTTTCAGTACCTTCTTTCATATATGCCACCTCTTTAGCTCAGAAGTAATGTGTGCCTTTTTAGGTGATGCTTGGAATGACTTTTGACCCATGTGTAAAATTCTTAGATAGCAGGTAAAGTCCATTGCAATGTTGCCTATTTAGAGGATATTAATAATGTGAATTGACCTATTACATTGCCTCCGAGTAACGAATGGTGCTATGCAGTAAAAACATAATTGTTGCATATGCAGTCATCCATAATAGAAATCAGACTACACCACTGATCTAACTCTAGAGGTAGGTAAGAGGAATCAACAGTGACAGGCATGAAAGAATGAGAACACCTCATCCCTAATTTAAACATGTCTTTTTGTGCACTTTGTCAATTTATCCATATCACATCAATCTAGCTCCCACTTTATGCACATTCTCTTTAAAGTGTTTACTGTTAATTATCCATCACATTCTGTTTTTTCGCTCTTCCCTGTATATCACAGCTGTGCAGAATCCCTCATCCCACTTGGCCCTACACAAACCAGTCAGGCATATATACACACTTTTGTGTAAGCTGCTATATTTGGATACATCTTCCCTTACCCTTTGTACACCTAAACTTCTTACTACCTGTTTACTACCTCAGTGGTAGTGAAACATATTCATAATCTGTGTGTTTCTCTTCATCACCCTGATTTTTCTTCACTTTTCTCTTTTGTTATATTTTTGAGTGTTTCTAGCTTGCTATAAGATACTATGCAACAACAAAAGAAGTGGACAGTTTTAGAGAGCATGCTTTGTTTCTTCTTTTACTTTTTCATATACACAGACACCCAGGACTCTCAGCCAGAGGGGCTGAGAGGTTCCAGAATATTAATAGATTCACAGAGAGGAAGCTGGCCTTTCAGTTTCTTCCGTCTTTTCCGGATTGTAGCTGGGATCTGAATCTCCAGTCCTGGGGTCAGGTGTTGCCAGTCATCAGGTGGCTGAGAGCAGCCTCATTAAGAGCTCAAGGGAGGATTTGGTGTGGGCAGCAGGCACATGAGGGCTCATGCTGGGGAGAGGCACAGGTTGTGTCCAGAAGCCAGACTGGAGCCAGGTGGTTTTGTGTGCGCTGGAGGCACACGAGGAACAGCCTGGGGGGCTGGAAGGCGTAGAGAGGCTGAGAGATCCAGGCACGCTGCTGAAAGCTGCTCAAAGGGCACAGTGTATTCCCGAAGAGATCCTGTTAAGGAAAACAGTAAGGTCCTGGGACTGGGACACTGAACAGGATAAC